CCATGCAGCCCAAACGCGCATCTCGCAAACACGACCATGCAGCCTAAACCAGTACGCACACAGCAGCAGCGGGGACCCAGGGGAAGGCCAGTGCCTTCCTTGCATATCCTCCACCGAACGGGATGAGACAACAAACGAAATTCTGTACACTCCGGAAGCCCCACCAGATAGCTGCTGCCAGCGGTTATAGAGCAACTCACCCCATTACCCCTGCGGCCTGAAAGACCACGACGAACTCCCTCTCTGGGCGGTAGTCCTTGACCCGCCTCACGATCTGACCGAGGTCGTCCTCTTCCCCCGCCTCCTGCCCCGCCGCCTTCATGCTCTCGAACTCCGTCAAGGGCACGTACATGGAAGGAATGCCGCCGAACTTGTCCGTCTGCGGTTCATGTTGGGCGTCCACGGGCAGAAGGCAACGGCGGCACGTGTAAGTAAAAAAATGCAACTGTCTTGACACCGCCCATCACGTCTTGCAAACTGATTCTGGCGCACGATTGTACTTCATTTTGAAAAACAAGCCATCGGTATGGAGGTAAATGGCTTTTTGCTTAGGCTTGACCCGCCGCGAATCAAAGCCGGGGGACGCCGACTGCTACTGTTTCTGTCCATTGGTGCGTCAAGTCTGTTACAGTACCACCAACCGTTTCGATCGCCTTCGCGTGGTTCATTCGAGGACCAGCGTTCGGCCAAGATTCTGTGTCGGAACTAGCAGCTCAAGTTCCAAGCCTCGTCAGTACAGTTCGCCAAACACACTCATCAACCGGGCATCCGACAACGGCAAACGCCCAGGGGACCACAGTGAACAAACCGACGTAACGTCTGACTGCTGTAGCTGACCTCGTTAAGCTTGTCTTCCTTCCGAGCATCGTCGTAGTTGGCAAAAATGGCCCCCCTGCCCATCTCCTGGTGGCCCTCCCAGCTCATGCTGCACAGGTACTGCCCGGTCCGCTTGATGTAGGCCTGCGAGTGTGTCAGGAATTTTCAGGTCTGTGACACATGACTTACAGCTGTTCCAGAGATACGTTTACCCAGCTACGAGCCAGAAAAAACTTCAAGGTGGTTGCTGTCCATCTCGTGCGGGGGCCCTAACTCAATAGCAAATTGTATAGGAAATCAGAACGCCAGTAACGAACATGGCGTTCGAAGCACGTTTGTTCTTGCTTCGCGGTATTCTTTGCCCGACTCGTTCTTCACGCGTTTTACACGAGAGCCTCTGCAACGGTTAGGACGCACCATATTGCAACGGAGTACAATAAGGACCTGCTCGGGTTCGCAGATACGCATAAGGCTTCGGAGTGGGTGATATGGCCTCCCTGGGTCCAGCCGAAAACATATGTTTTGTTTTTCTTACATTCTCTTCTGGGGATGCCGGGATTTTCGCTTTTTTTCCGTGTGTGACTGGTTTTCTCTGCATTCGTTCTGTTAGCTCTGACAACACGAATCGCAGGAGATCTTCAGAGATCTACACCGTCGTGTGGCGTGGTGTCGACTCCGTGCACGTGTCTAAGCAGCCACGGCTAAGAATAACCATGTACCCCAACCACCCTCGCGACACTCTCGGCGCAGACCACCACGACGCACCTTATACTCCTTCTCCCACGACCCCACCCCGCTAAGCCCCTCGCTCCCGGGGGCCTTGCCCCCTCCCTCTTCCCCTCCCGTTGTCGCCGGGGCGGGACTGGGGGGCTCGACGCTCTTACCGAAGCCCTTGGCCGCCATCACCCTTGCGGTCGCGGCCGTTTCCCTGACGTGTGATGGCGTGAAAAGGCGGCAGTCGGTAACTCGATACGTCGGCAGTGGGGGGTGCAACAGCAAAGGGGCTACAAGTAGAAAAAAATGCGCCCAGAAAACTCGGCTACACATGCATGTACGTGTCAAGGCGCGGCAAAATAGCACGGCGAGAGAGGGAGACCAGATCGAAACGCCTGGCGAAACGAGGAGATGCGACCTCGGGGTTTCTATTCAAAAGGCACCTATCACCTTTGGGCCAGCCCTGCTCTGGCAGGAGGAAGAAGGAACGCTTCGGCCAGGAAGGGGGCGCTCAAGCAGCAGTAGGCGATCACCGCTCCCAGGATGGCGGCGGCGGTGGTGGTGGTGGTGGTGGGCATTCTCGTCAATAACGATGAAGCTGCCGCGTGTCTCCTTGCTGCCGATCGCGGCTTCGCACTAGAAATTACCCGTACGGTTCTTCTTGAGCTCAACACGAGGCTGTTCTGTCGACAACGCCGGGTGTGGTTGGCGGGGCTTGTGTCCGGGAACTGGGGGAGTAGGGGTGGTGCGTTCAATCGATCGCATCGTGGAAGGAGAAAAGGTGGGATGGAGAGGCACACGGAGAGGAAACAGGTTGTTTCAATATGTCGTTAGCACCAACGTCTGCCACCCGGTGAAATTGAATCGAAATGGTAAACGGCACTACTGCTGTCTATTGTCGGATAGGTTCGGCCTTCCTCGAACCTCTTCCGAGCGTCACGTCTACTGTTGTACATCCAGGGAGAGCTGAATGGCACGGGATGTTGCATACTGCTGTACATACAATATGGCACCAACCACACGGCATTCTCGGTCCAACAGACTTGAGGTGTCGGGAATCAAACCTCCACATGAAGGATTTCCACAAGATATCCACCATCGGTTTGACGGCGTATTATTACAACACAGACGGAACCCTTGATCAGGTGACTCAACGGAGACCTCTTGTACCGGTGATGAGTGCATGCAGGCCGTACGTCTGTAGGTGGTACTGCTGTAGATTACAATAGTACAGGAGTTGTTCTTCAGCTTCCAATACTGCTGTATCCAACAATACCCCGCGGATCATCGCTGCAATAGTAGCCCCTCACTGAGCAGGTTACAAAGAGTGCGATGGAAATTCCTCACGCACACTAGTGGTACCAAGGGACTGGAGAGCTGTGAGGGGGAGATAAAGCCGGTTTGTGTACGTTCCCTGGTATCAACTCTGGCTTGTCGCGAACATATACAATACCAATCTAGGAGGGGGAAATCAATCTCGTCATTTGCAGTTGTACATCACACTCGTTGTCGGTGTTTTTGGAACGTAGCAAGGCAGACTGCTGTATACGTTACATGACATCTACGGAGGGCCGCAGGAGGAAGGTAAACATGTGCACGAGTGCTCAGAAAACAGCGACCTCTGTTGGAGCTCTACCTTCATTGATCAAGGGGTGGTCAGCATAACTTAAGCACAGCCATGACATTTCGGCATCCACACCATACACTCACCTCCATGGGGATTCCTTGCTCCCAACACACGCTCTGTTGCTCTCTCTGCGCAGTCGCTCTGTTCCGCTCCTACCGCTCTCTGCTCTGTGCTTGTAGCTCTGTCTTCATGTCTACGGTGCCCCCCCCCACACCCAAATCATCGTAGATTGTGGAGATCTTATCAAGGCTCCCCCCTCACACTTTCTGCTGGCGGTACAGTCTGCTGTTGACTTCGCCGCACTACACACCGACCACTACCACCCCGGTCGCCAAAGATGAAGCCGCTGTACCATGACAGAGCAGAGAGCATCGCGCTTACGTTCACGCAGAACCCTTTGGCTTCCCAGGCAAGCGTCTACAGATAGTGTGTGTCCTCTTGACACAAGCACCTGGGTTTGAATTTTGAATCGCCTCTGTGTTTTTCCCCAACTCGTTGCTTCATGTTATGGTGGTCGACAGCAGCAGGAAATGCTGGTGGGATGGGCATGTTTAGCTGCATGAACTGTGATTATCCTACAGCAGGACCAAACGCCGTCGCGCTGTTATTTTCGATGCCCTTGCGCATATGTAATTCGGCATACTATGGTGTAGCAGACCACGATCTAAAAAATATGTTATGTGCAGCATTGACGTGATGGGGGGGGTGGGGGACGAAACAGAGAGGGCGAGAGAGAGAGAGAGAGAGAGAGAGCCAGAGAGAGAGAGAGAGAGAGAGAGAGAGAGAGAGAGAAGAGAGCCTAGAGCCGTCATGCCTTACAGTATCTCCGTGGCACAGTCGTGATGTAGCCTATGTACAGTAATCGTTACGTACCTCGTTTTCCAACAACTTTGCTACTGCTCGTAGAATGAGCATAAGTCGAGCGCTGCAAACAGATCTACCACCCCACGGGAAGAAGAGCGGTCTGCGAGGACATCTCGGCGGTAAAACGAAAACAGTCAAAGCTGCGTGGAGGACAAGTGTAGAGGTGACGCAGTCATTGGTACACGTACGAAAGTTCGACAAGATACGACCTGAGCGGAGTATCTTGCTGGTCGGTGTGAAGCAAGAAACCCCAAATGCGGATACGACTTGTCCAAAGACGCCTGCGGAGATGAGGAGTGGGAAGGAAGTCTTGTGACTATATAGATATCCTCCTCTCTGTCTTCAGTGCTGCACACTCTCTCTTTCCGAGACCTTTCCCCTTGTCATATCTCAAGAAAGAAAACTGCCAGCCCCCGGTAGTGGGCCAAGATTACCACGACCTAAGTCCACCATCCAAAGAGGGAACCCTGTGTCCCTACCGTAGCTGAAGTGTTTGGAAGTATTCAGCCCGAAACAAGGCCATCGAAACACTGTTTTCGTCGGCCAATGAAAACGAGAGGTTGCTTCCGAGTCAAGCGGCCCTCCAGATGGAAAAATTGGAACACGTTTTTGCCACCTTATGGTACAGGCAGTCGGAGGGCACGCGTGCGCGCGGAGGGGGGGGGGATCCGTCACCCGTGGGGCGTAATTACCTGTAGGCCCGGCCGAGGGGTTTCCGCAAAAATATATATTGCCAAACCCCAGTGATGAGGCGCGAGCGTCCCCCCCACCCGCCGGAGTCATAGGATCTCAAAATCTACATCATGGACGGGAAAAATTCCATCAGCAAGTGATATCCACTATTTACGCATACTTGTACTCACGACTGCTGTCCTCCGTTGTGCATCGACTGGCTTTTTGTTTTGCTTGGTCACGTTATTTCCAGACAGAGGACCACAACAACAGCAGCAGCGATAGCGGCACAGCACTCGCGCCCCCGATGTTCGGCGAGGACAGCATGCGGGAGTGCCCTCTCGAAAGCTCCATCCTCGGGTCCATCATCCCCACCCTGGACCCCAACCCCCCGCAACCTTTCCGCAAGCGCAAGAACGCTTCCTTCGCTGACGACACGGCTCCCCCCGAAGAGCCGGGATTGAACCCCCCCCTCTCGACCGGCAGATTGGGCGCCGCAGAGGCTGAGGGGGGGGCTCCACGGGATCGGGCAGGGGGGGACGGCGGAGTGGCAGTGTCAGGGGGGGGGGTTGGTGAGGGCACTGCTGTGGACCAGAAAGACGAGGCGGGTTCGACCGAGGGTAGAGCGAGGAAGCCTCGGGTTAAGCATGGGCTGAGAGTTCTCGTGCGGGGCACATGCAGGTGTTGTTTTCTGTACTTGCGTTGCTTGACAGTGTTGATATGTCGGCCGTTTTTTTGTCTTAAGTCGTAGGCACCTGTGTGGGGTGCAATAGACAGCAGCGGTATCCAAGCGGTAGAAATAGTGTAGACATGTACACACGTTCATTTCATCCCCGTTGTGGGTTGTGCCCACCTCGCTTTTCAAATTGTGTCGAATCAGCCGTAGTTTTGCTATGTTCCTTGTTGTTCTATGTGATGCCGTGTGTCAGGCACGGAGCGGTGCCGTAGGTCCTTGGAATCCCACTGGGTAGGACGTGTTGGTATGTTTCGAGGACGTCATTCGGCTTTTTGCAACACGCGCTTGCTGTCCGTCTTCTATGTTGTCCAATCGTTTCTGATAAGGTGCGGTAAAACGACGATTCTGTGGGACTATTGCCACCGTGCGGCCGTGGCGGGTCACCGCGTGGTTCTGGTTTGCCTCAAGACCGCCAACGACAGCGAAGACCTCTCGAACCTGCCTCGCTCCATGAGGGCCGGTGGTAAGGGGTTTTCGCCCGCCGTCCCTCCCATTCTCGTGCATGCAGTAACGCATGTGTAGTTGTCAATAGTGGAGAGACATTTTGTGAAGCAGCAGCAGCAGCAGCAGCAGCAGCAGGCTAAGGTGTCGAACGCCAACGTGGACTTAAGCTTTAGAGTTGTGCCTGATGCTTGATTCTAGAAGTTGAGTAGGCCCACCCAGTACGCGACGGAGTGCGCCGCTCGCTATTTGTCCTAGCATGTTTGCCTCTCCTCCCTCGCTTGTTACGTTTCACACATTCTTCACGTTTTCTTCCCGATGGACGACAACTTTTTCCGGATATGTACATCGGTTTTTCTGTGTACTTTCACATGACATATTGTGTGTGCGCCAACAAGTGTTTCCTTGTAGAGCCTTTGTCTTTGCTATCTGGCTCGTGGTCGCAGGAGCTGCCTCTTTCACTTGCTCTTTAGGTCAGGGCAACGATGCGACAACCCATATCAGCAGTAACAGCAACAGCAACAGCAACAATGTCAACACAACCATACCAATACGTCGACAAGTGCTAGCGGCCCTCGTGTATAGATTTTTTCCGCATGTGTTTGGAAGATAGGCTAAAAGGATGCAGCCCACACCAGTGGCCGTCGAAGTACGCTTCACGTATATACGAGGTGTAATTGCCTGTAACCAATTGCAGTGCCTTGCACACGCTCTGTCGATTGTGTTTTCGGCTGCTGTATTTTTTTCATCTCAAGGGACTCTCATTGTCATCCACACTCAGCACTTTGTGTGTGTGTTGAGCAAGATGCCTGTTTCGTTTCGTGTTTATTCCGCCGCTTTCTCCGCTTCTCCTAGGCGAGAGTGACGAGCTGCGAGGGTGGGAGGCGATCGCCCTCGGCAGGATCGGCATCAAGTACGTGCGCTCTCGAGACGACCTCGCCTGGTACCTGGCCAGCCTGCACACGCTCAAGAAGAGCCAGTGGCCGACGGTGATCGCAGGCGAGCTTTATTTTTGCTCACATTAATAATAATGCCAACACTGTGAAGGGCTGTCGTAGTCGACGGCAGCCATTGACATTGTAACGAAATAACGGCTACAACGCCGGCGGTCCTTTTTAGCGTGATTTTCTTGCTATCATTGGACGGCTAGTACGTGTCATTGGTCATCCGACCCGGCGTCTCCGTGCAGCGCAACAGTTTCACCAAGTCCGACCGATGTCGCCGCCGATCCCGGCCCGCTGAAAACAATGATTGGCGTCCTTCCTACCTTTGTCAGTCGATGATGTGGACAAGATCATCGAGACATCGGCGGGCGGCAGCGGCGGCGGCGGCGGCGGCGGAGGAGGAGGAGGAGCAGCGTTGAGAATACTGGCGCTCCTTCAGGACACAGCTGAATTCTTCGACAAGTCGAGAGCCGAAGCTGCTGCCACCGCCGCTGCTGCCGCTCGCGGTTCAACCGCGGGAAGTACTCCGAACAGAACAACGGGAGGAACTCCGAACAAAACAACCGCCGCCACCCCTCAACCGGCAGAAAGGGGGAGTGGTGGCGGCGGCAACACCTCATCGCCCCAATCCCAACCATCGGGCAACTTGAGGGTAGTAGGTGGAGAGGGAGAAAGGTTTGCTTGGACGCCAGGCGAAGGGAGTCGGGCAGCGGACGGAGCGAGACCGAAAGGAGGTGGGCGTGACGACATAACAGGGGAGGCGGCGGCCGTGCGCGTGGTGACCACCTGCTCGACGTCAGACCGGGGGATGCTGTCGCTTTATGGACGGTGAGTCAAGCCAGGCAAACACGAGCTCTTCATAGCCAATCTCTTTCTTTGTCCTCGGGTTTTGTCAGTTTTCCCCAAACGCGAACGCCGTTACGGCACCTGCGTGGAACTGATGTGTGCGTTGCGGCTTGCGCTGCGTACCATTTTTTTTTAGGCGGAATCGTTGCTGCGGTGGGGGCAGAGCCCCGTCGGTCACTTGGTTTTCGTGTCTTTGTTTTCCATGACCCTGTGGCTGTGGCTTACACCAGATCCCCTCTCCCTCCCGCCCAAGCAGCAATGCTTCGGTGCTTCGATCGATCAATCCGAACTTCGGTCTATGTGGTTGCAAGCTTGTCCGACCGTTCCATTTGACACCGCCGTCGAACACGCTGAAGCCCCCTCCCCCGGATCACGTGCTCGCCTCACCCCTACCCACTCCCATCTCGTCTCCCCCTCCCCCCGGCATGACACGTATTCCATCCAACCCCGTTGGGTTGGAATCGGAAAAGCTTCGTCCACGTGGTTGCGAGGGTGCAAAATACGACCGGGCCGGACTGCTTCTCGTTGAGGGTCGACCCCGGCATCGGCACAGCGTCTGCCCCTGCCCCTTACCTTCGTCCTCGACCTGCGGCCGCATCCGGGTCTGGAGGGTTCGCCCCGGGATTCACGCCATGGGACGGCGGTGGCGGTGGTAGCGATGGTGGTGGTGGTGGTGGTGGTGGGTCTGCTGCTGCTGCTGCACATCAGGAGGTGGTGGAGTACGTGCGGTCTCAGATCGATGGGTCGTTTGCTTTGTTCTGAGTGAAGATGGGCCTAGCGATTCATCTAGTTTGGTCGCTGGGGCTAGCACGGCGATGTTGATTGCGGCAGTGTGTTTCGATGGCCGTTTCGAAGAATTTGATAGTGGCTGGTGTTGGCTGTGCAGCGAAGCACGACCGGCTATCTCGATGGTGAGCTGTCCGCTTCATGCCGAGTGAATACGAGGAATGCCCTTCAATGAGAAGAGACCGTGACGACGACCTTTAAGGTGCGCATAGAAACTGCAGGCGTATCACGTATCGCGAATTTCGTTGTTGCTCCATTTTTCTGTGTGCCCTTAAAAAAGATGCTACTTCGTATGTCGTATGACACACAGATTTTGAGCGACCATCCCGAGTCGTACGGCCCCGCTTCATGGTGTTTATTCTTCTCTCCAAGCCACTTTGCAACATGATGGGCAGGCCATGGGATGAGTTCTTGCGCACAGGGGTGTATCCCGACGTTTTCTCTCTGGGTGAGGAGATTTATTGTGGCTGTCTATCTACGGGCCCCATCAGGTCGTCGAGGAAAAATGTCGCTCCTGTGCAGTTATGTGTGAGAAGGAACACACATGGATCTAAATAGCCCCCTAAGTAAGACAAGGCGCCTGTTCCATTGAACTGAAAGCAACCAAGCGGGCAGCGTACGACGCAACAAGCCTGCGTGAAGAACAAGATGTAGATGAGGGGCTCGTTGGCTGGGTTCCTCCAGCCTGCATGATGGGCGGCAAGGCGCAACACAACCGAACAGGGCGTTCGGCCGTTGCTGCTGCTGTCAAGACCCTTTGCATTCGTGCAGTTCACGTAGTTTCCCACCCCTACCGGTGGTTCAGAAGGAACGTAAGGAATGCCCTCGCATCTACTGGTGTGGACCAGCACTACATACACCCGTGTCGACCACTCCGACATCCGATCGGTGAACATGGCCATGGAATCCATCCATACCCTGCATGCGGTACAGCGGGGCTCCAGCTCAAGAGCATCCATCCACAGCAGCAGTACTTGCATACTGCGCAGCATTCGATCTCAACCTGCTAAATCAGCTCATGTACTATGTCCGATGAGTACCCGCTTTGCACCACCACGTCCTCGGCCCGTACTTCGCCCCCCAAGGATGTGGGTTAGGGAGTAGGAACGAATTGACGTTTGCTTGAGGGAGTTGTTGCCAGACAACGTCCGTCCACGCGTGCTCGACTCATCGCCGCCCCGCATAGAATGGCATCGCTCCACCCATCATCCTATGGCTAGCGGTACCCGCACTTGCCTCTACCAGCACTCTCGTTACCTCCCAGCGCCCTTCGTCTATTATCACGTAAACTTGCGTTCCGCCTACAGCACTCTCTGGCGAGATGAACGTTCCCAACAGGTCTGCTGCATCGGTCTTACCAGCATCTTGGATACGGCTCCCTGTATCCACCTTGAGCGGGATATGAGTAGAATCGCAGCGTCATCACCCGCAACCGACACTTTGGCTTCCTTGCCCAGCGCAACCCTTAACACGCGTGAGTGGCCCTGCTGTTGGCCGAGAGCCGGGGTCAGAGGGTGGGGAAAAGACAGCATGTAGTATGTGTCGTCGAAGATCTCCGAGATCTACGAAATCATGATGGGGGCTCCGCGGCAGCTGCTGAACGTCGTGCTGATCGCGTTGCTCCACTCTACACTCTACACACACACCACCCAACAGCCAGGCTGACCGGTTGATTGGGAATGGGGCGTGGGCAACTGAAGTACAGGAAAAGAGGAGGGAGAGGGGTCGGGGGTACATTGCGGGGTGGACGGGCTGCAGGAGGTCGCGGCAGTTCGGGTGGCAGCAGTGAAAGCACAGGTGCAACAAATTTGAATTTCACGTCTCATCAGCACATCAATCGGTGGCATTTCTGCACACACAGGCAACAAGAGTACAGCAGTAGTGCAAGTAAGAGGTTATGAGAGAGTCTGGCTTTGCCTATAATAGCACCCCATCGCTATTCGCAGGATGTTATGAATTTTCAGGAGAGAGGTTCGGTGAGCTAATTTTGTCTGATTTGTGTTGACTAGCACTCCCCGGAGCATGTTTTACTTGAGTTTATTACGTACCGATGTAAGCAGGGCGGGCGCGGCCTGTGTATGGAGAGAGAGAGCGAGAGAGAGAGAGAGAGAGAGATGCGGGATTCTTCCATCTGAGCCTGCTGTTTGGCGTCCAAAGTTGGCGATCCGCCGTTCGCTACTTCGCGTGCAAACAACCAGGCGACGTCACAGTTCACGCAAGCACCAGATTGTACACGGGAGTAACAATTATTTCAATTATTGATGTAGGACAAACGTGCAGAAGTATTTACACCGAGCCCTGTAAGAGAGGAAAATCAATCTCTCGAGTAGCGGGAGGTGCCAAAACCGAGTCTGCGGGCGGGGGCCGCCACCGGCTCTATTGAGTGGGTGCCTTCTGTCGCTGTTGTCTCCATATAAATACCGGACTTCGCTCGGTGAACGCTGCGATACCGACAGCTCGTTCCCCCCTAAATATCTCGCCTGTAGATTAGCTGTAGACGATCGTGAATCACGCGCCACACACCCCGGCTATGTACCTTTTCCACCGCTTCCTTTTCATATCTTTTTGGAACCACCCTTCGGTCCATATCATCTGGCCAACGCCCCCTCCCACCCCCCTCCCCCTACCCCCTCAACGGGTCGCTTTGCCTTCCAGCCGTAAACACAAAAAGAAGTGGACTCCGACACGACCTCACCTCACACCTCCCGTCGAATACGGAAAAATGGGGGCGAGCGTTCGGCGAAGAACACGGAGAACAAGGTAGGAGAAAGGCGCGTTGGGTGGGTGGATGGATGGGTGTTTTTTCGACTCGTGGGACCCCCAAGGGAGCGTGGCTCGGAGCGAGTGGGTTGAAGTCGTGGACACGGGTCGTACTTAGGCAGGCACCAAGCACCACGGGTGAGGGAAGAAAGTTGTGGAGAATGCGTCCGTCTTCTCTAAGCAGGGAATGTTCGCGGTACGTGCGGGTCAACGAAGGCTTGATGTCCCCCTAACGAGGGTCGAGCTGCGTCTTCAAAGCAGTTGGTGCTTTCGTGACGGGCTTCGGAGGGGACTGCCTCATACTGTACCTCTTTCTTTCGCAGCAAAGGGTTTTTGTTTGCAGAGTAGCGACGACCACGCACACGCCCAAGACTCAACCACCACACCCTCCACCATATCTACCATCATCGTCCCTGACAAGGAAACAATACCACACAACAGACAGAACACGTCCACGTTGATGATTCCAATACCAACAACTACATCGATGACAACGGAAACGAACACCGTCCCCCCCACGCGAACCTCATTCCTTGACGTCAACAGGAGGAGGAGGAGGAGGAGGGCGGGGGAGGCGGGCGATATCGACGTCCGCGGTGGGTGTCGAGGAGACGGAGAGACTCTTGGACGAGAGCGAATGGGCCATCGGCGCCTCGTCTCGGCACTTGGCAGCACTCCAGGAAGATGACGAACCAAGCCACGGGGCTGCGGCCGCCCCCGGCGAGCTGCTCGCGCTGGTGAGCGTTCTGGAGGGGTATGCAGGGAGAGGAGACATGGAGGGGTTGGTTGGAAGCGGGGATCTTACCTCTTGCACGCCGTAAGATCTTATAAACACTGCTGTAGCAGTAGTGGGCTACCATCCCCAGTCCTTGGAGATGGAGTGTGTTGTGACGTCATCGTGCAGCCTCCCCTGGACAGGTTCCCTGGACGGGCATGCCCTGAGAGTCGGTGTGTGACTCTGACTCTGACAGTCGGGTGTGACTCTGAGAGTCGGGTGTGAGAGGGAGGCAACCTTCCGTGAGAGATTTACTGTCGAGATCGGGTAGAGAGGAGAAGGGGCGTTCCCATGCCCTTCTTGCCTTCAACTGCACATTTCAACCTCTCTACCTAGGTGACACAAGATACCAGACCCCCCCGGACCGATTCTTGAAGCTCGATTTCTCCGCGACGAATCCAAGATCGAATGATGCCTTGTTGGAAAGTTCTCGAAAGGACCGCTCCAGCGCCGTAATTTCTAGGCACCATCACGTAGTTTGCTGCAGAGTTTTCGCGCTGTGAAAATCGGTCCCCGGCGTGCGGTATCTTACGCAACCCACGGCTGCCCATCCAGACGAACGAATTCCCTTCTCAATGTGAGGGAGCAGTCCTCGACTTTGATCGCGCCCGCTTTTGGTTTTGTGCCGCGTGGTCTGCCTGTTCGGTCTTCCGCCTGTCAGAACTCTGCTACCCGTCTCTTTGTCCTTCGATTGTACCGTGGCTGGCGGACGATTGGCGTACGTCTTCTGTTGTCTGGCGTGTGGAGCCCCGTACGTATTATTTTCCCCCCGTTTGTCTGCCTCGTCTGTCTGTCTGTCTGCAGAACCTGGAAGTGCTGGAGGTCTGCTTGCGAACGCTTCCGGCCCACGAAAGGCTGCGGCTGCCGCACGCCTTGACCGTAAGTTGCCGCACGCCTTAACCGTAAGTTCTCTGGATGATTCGTGTTTCTTTGAATTATCGTGGAGCTTGTTCGCGGCACCGTGCGTCCCGGACAACCCCCCCCGGCTATCTTCCAGCCAACGGCTGTACTCAGTAGACGCAGGAGGTGTGGACAGAGAATGATCCCCCGTATCTATTTAGATTGATATCGCGTTCGAGGAGGAGTCGAGCACTCGCAAATTCTTGTGCGAATGACGTGTTAGGTTTGACGTGTTGGGAGAGCTTCGCCGTGACAACTAGGGCAGATCGATCTCTTGTGGAGAGTGAGATACCACGCCAGCAGCTCTGGCCACAACCACGAAGAGGCACACGGGCGTGCCGGCGATTTTACGCAGAATATTTTCCTTTCAATCAAGCCATCTCCTTGCTTGCGCGAACACCAAAGAGCAATCAATCGCCTTGCTCGCCCAGAGACTTGGAGAGAATTCATCATCGCCTACTCGCGGGTAAGGCAGTCATGGGTACACACCCGCCCTTGGCTAGAGGCGACGCCCGCTATTAGTTTCTCGCGCGCACTACAATAATCATCTGACACATGACGAATTAGCCGGGCGATCTGGTCGTCGTCACGTGCTTCATGTCCGCCTCTGCGCGAGGCTCAGACAGCGCTACTGCTGCGGTCGACGCACAGGAGCGTTGTGCCCGTCCTCTTGTAGGTCCTACCCATGCATCCTATTTTCCCCTCGAGCACCAGACTTGCCGGACGGGCAGGCTCTCTGTGTTGTCCCCCAACAGACACGATCGATTATCATGACACCAACTCCCCCCCCCCCCTCCGCCTTCGAACACCCGTCAGGCCCAACTGGAGACCCAAGGTGATGGAAACCCCGCCCCCGGGCCTACCGCCGCGTTACCGGCAAGAGAAGGGGCGGCCGCGGAATGCGCGAGAGCGGCGGCGGCGGCGGGAGAAGGGGGGGTACCAGAACCAGTACCGGGAGGCACGCGGGGGGGGGACAAAAACGCGGGTCTTGGTGGTCCTGGCCCTATCGCCTCGGCTGGGGCTACCTCAGCGCCCTTAGCTGTGGTGGGGAACGACGAAGGGGCGGTGTTGGACACCCTGCTGGGCTTACAGGAGGCGACAGGGCCGGCGGCGGCGGGGGCGGGGGCGGGGGGTTCGTGGAGGGCTAATAGCGGCGGGGGGACGGCAACAACCACTAGCGACGAGGAGAGGATTCGCGCTGCGGGCGGGAGGGAAGAGATCGATGAGTTGCAATCGTGCGATGACGATCGTGTGGCGGGTCGGAAAGAGGAGGCCGTGCCTGCAGAACCGCCATCATCATCGTCATCGTCGTTGCCGGCACAAGCGGGAGGTGGTACTAGCGACCGTCGAGATTCTCTTGGCGGTGCGGCGGCCTTGGGCGGAGGGGTCGTTGGGCCAGGCGCCGGAATGGATAGCGGTAGAGGTGGTGGCGGTACGGATGAGCTCGAAGACTGGCTCGACGGGATGTTGGCCGACGCTTGATGCCGCAAAAAGGGATGTCGTCGTTGCAAAAGAAGACGCTACTACTATGCATGGCTTCTCTGAAAAGGTTGTTGTGTTACAGCGCCCGGGGTGAATTTGCCATGCACACGTGAAGGGTGTTTTTTTCTAAGAGAAACATGGTAGCTATGATTACGTCTACTTGGCTTGCGGTGCGCGCAACGCGTCGTGCTTCACGCAATGTTTAGATCGTGTCGGCCCTGGTTTTCGTGTAAAGTTTGGGGTCATGTCTGTCGGCAGGTTTCCCGACCAAGAACGAGCCGCGCAGTCAGCCAAAGACACGTGCCATTCGTAGGGAGTACCCCTCCGAATAGCGCTTGAGGGGTCACCTTATCTGACACAATCGGGTATAGGGAGACACACTCTGCTTAGACGTGTTGATCTCGCCGACCTCTTGATACTCCCTCCGCTTACAAGTACTGCAGCGGTGAAGTAGCGTGTGCCTGGGAACAGACGTGGGAAGCTGACAAGACCTTTTTGTGGCGTCGTTTGTCGCCGTAAGATCACCCAAACAGGACTTACACGTTTCTCCCAAAAGTGCACCCCCCTACCGTAGCATCACTTGGCTGCCCAGTTTATTTTTAGCAATCATGGGGACATAAGCCGGGGTGGGGTGGCAGTTCAAAGCTCAAATGTTGTTGGTGTCTCACCTTGTCTCGCGCCAAAGGAGTGTTGAAGGTTGCAATGTTTTTCTTTTTTTTTTTGCCACCCCAACTTGGCAATCTGCCGAAGGTATGACAGAGAGAAAGAACAACGGCACGAAACTTCATACAGATCAGTCGAGCTCGAGCTCGCGTCATTGAGGGGGCAAGCACGGCAAGAAAACACATGAAGGGGAACCAAAAAAAAAACACACACACACACACACACAAAATAATGCGCGGCGGGTGGGCACCGCTGGCACACATACAACATACAATGCTGTGCGGAACGTTCGATAATTGTTTTATCTTTCTTCGCGCACATGTTCTTTCGGCCGGGGAAAGGGAGAGTTTCGCCACCCGTAACGGCGGGGGTGTAGGGCGCCCTCGCTTGTTGTGCGATCGTTTCTTTTGCCGTTTCTTCATTTTTTCGATCGATGCTGCAGGATCGGCGCATTTTTAGTCTCCCGTGTATATACCGTGTACGACACAAGATAACACACCCCCTGGAGCGATTTTCAGCGCTCGATTACGCCACGACGAAGAAGATGAGAAAACAAAACGATTCATTTTCAGAACGCTCTCGACAAGACGGCTTCAACGCCGCCGTTTGTGGCGCTGTGGCTCTTTGTTCTGCTAAGAAATCGAGCTTTGAAAATCGGTCCAGTGGGTGTGTTATCTTGTGTCGTATACGGTACGCATGTTTGCGGTTCAGAATGTACAGACAGGCAGGTGTTGATTGCCGAGGCCTGGCTGGTGGAGGAATCGTCACTCGTGGCGAGGAGCGGGTGACGGAAACTGGGCGAAGGTCCAAAACATGGAGATCTATCCCTTGATACCTGCGGTAGGTAGTGATAAAGACACTTGCTAAACGCGTGGCATTATGTAGCACACGGGCAGCACTGCTGTAGGTGGTGCGCAGCCATCTTGTGCGCCTATAGCAGTGTGCAGGTAACCTCCGCAAAAGCAAGGTGTGCACATTTATTTGTCGTCTCGCGCTGGCTGGCAAACGCATGATGAATTGGTTCATTGAATTCCCCTTTTTTATTTTCCGTCATCCATTTGGTGGACTTTTTTTTTTTCCCCCCCGTCATACCCCCTCCCCCCCCCCCAACCCGTTGTGCAAATCGCGACTCCAATTCCCCCCCCACAAATACACCCCCTGTTGTTCACTTGACTGGCTGCTACATGTTCCTCCCCGAGCCAGAATACGCAGCCTCTCGCCCCCCCCTCAGCCTGCGACTGCACGTGATCATGAATGGACGCCCACAACTCCCCATTTCCCTTGTGTACGTCCTCTAGGGTGTATGTATGCTGTGCATGCACACAAATTGAGACAGACAGGCATTATCCAGCGGATTCGACGCGAACACCATGCAGGATAAAAGAAAGCCAGCCCCCGCCATCAAAAACAGAATTATTAGGTGATGGGTGGATGGACTACTCGCAGCATGGCATGCATGGCACCCAAACAAATTACTAATATGCATACTTTCATTCTACGCTGTTAGACTACAGCCATACCGCGCGTCTCTACACGCACCGAGCGGACAACACAGACGCTCATGTTGGACACAAGACTATACCAACGATCAAAACCCAGTCCCAATGTATGTGTAACCTATCAAAATGCATCTAGATGCACCACAAGAATAGACTCCAGATATTTTCTATTTCTCAGCCAAAGTGTGTTTAAATACGGACTACTTGTGAGACTGGTACTAAAACATGCTGTCCCCGATGTAAAGATCACGAAACGTCGACACGACAAAAATCAAGAGAGTGCGCTATTGGGCTAGGCTAGATGATGGCGTTTGAGGCGAAAGAAGCTATCTTCGAAGCAGC